GCCCAAGATGAAAGGAGACAGAAGGGGAGAAGGAGAGGGATACAGGGCTCCTTGATGGTGGGAAGAGAGAAATTTCTGTGTCTTGCAATAAGTCCCATATCACATGGCTGGGAGGAGCAGCTGTTGTACTGTATTTTTCCTGGCACAGGTCCCTGAGGCACTCAGATGGACTGTTTACCAGTGAATACAGCAAGATGAGGGGAAATGCTCAAGTTCAGAAATTCATTCAAAACCTCATGGGCCGCAAGCGCAGGTGAGAACTCTGCTTCCTGGGGTATAGGAAGGCAGCTTGGGCCTTGCAGGCTGCAGGGAGACAGGTCTCAGCTCCAAGGAAAGGGGGGTGGCATGACCAGTGGTTTGGAAAAGAGGAGACAGGGCGAGCAGGCTGGGGTTTGGTCTCCTCCAGCTGGAGCTGCTGTGCAAGAGCAGAGGCATTCCACCCGCCTGTCACAGCAGGCAGAGCAGGACACAAACCTTCTCACCAAGGCCATTTCTAAGCATAAACCAGCATTGTCTATTGTACATGCATATCAAGCTTAATCCTTAGAACACAAAACTTTACATCAGATCACAGCCTGGGATTTTTTATTTGCATTTTGATTTAGCCTTTTGGGGAAAGTTGTAGGTGATTCACCTCCTTCAAATAAAGCATCTGAGAAAATGTTTGTAGATAAACAGACTCTGCAGCAGAATGAGAAAGACCTCTGGGTTTCAAAGTCCCCACCCATGGCTCTGACTGCCAAACTGGGCAGGCTTTAGACATAATCATATATAAGGCCAATATGGGGTCTTTCATCCAGTTGAAATATGGGGCCACTAGCTCCCACCAAAGCCACGTATATGAGCACATCACCAGTTATAGTATGTGGTACACTGTGACACAACTCACAACTGCTGCTGCGCTTGCCACTGGTTATGAAGGGACAACATTACCTGGAGAGGTTTCCTTCAAGCTTCGTCCTTTCTTCAAGGGAGAGACATAGCACATTGATTCCTTCCCATCTTTTCAGGGTGCTTTGATATTTTCTGGTGCATGCACCACTAACAAAATCCTGCCAGATGCAGTAGATTTTTAATTTCTAAATGCTGGAAAAAAGTATATATCCATGGGCAGAAGGATATGCCAGTACAGGATCATGAGGCAGACTGCAAATGCACATTAAAACCTGTCCCATTGCCAGCCAGAAAGCATCTGAGCCTGATTTGAAGAGGATACTTCTTTTTCTTTCTGCACAGCTACAGTGATAGTCAGCAGGTTAGCAGAACACAGAGCATGGGACAGCTCAGTGGAGGGGTGAACTTGCCTTCCAGACAGCAGTGCTGCTTTACAGCTGTGGTGGTTACACTATTACTATTATTATTATTTTTTTCTTTGTCTAAACAAGCTCTTCAGGCCCACTCAACACAGATGTGCAGGGGAGCGAGGAAGAAAATGGCCATGAGGAGCTTTGCTTTATGTGGTTGTACCAGAACTTTCTAAACAGCAGGTACGTGAGATAGATTTGTCACCTCTGTGGCCCTGATCACCACAGTATTGAAGCTGAAAGAGGACTTTTAGTAAGTTGTAAATGCCCAGTTTTTGCCCCAAGCGCAGAAGTCTGATGTAATGCAGCAGATCAGAAGGGCTTAGCTGATATCCTCAAAAATATCCTCAAAAAGGGGAAGGGTGAAAAATTTGTCCATATTTTAAAATCACTTCTGCCTCATTTGCCATCAGCTCATGAGGCACTGTCTCGGGGACTACCATCACTGTTTTATACCTCCTGTCACTCTCCCAGCAACCACTCCTGGGGGCTGTTTGCAGAGCTAGAAAAATAAATGCTTTAGTCTAACTGCAAGGTGGCATGTGGCTGTGTGCAATCTCAATTTATTTCTGTGCCTACATTCTCAGTAATCCCTGTTTCCACATGCCAAGCCCACCTGGCACTCAGTTTTGCCTTACCTAAAGCAAAGCTGGCATTGAGATTTACAGCTAAGAAGTGCCATATAAAAGCCAGTTATTAAAAATAATAAAACCCAGGGAAATTAAATAATATCTTTTTCTTATCATAGAGTTGTCATCCTAGACTGAAAGAATTGTTCATCCCATTAGGAAACCTGATCTAACAGTTACAATAGAAAGCCTTTTCTACCTTGTCTTGATTCAGTCATTGATTTGAACGCACACCTCAGGATGGGCTGTCCCAGCATCTGGACATTGTCTCTTCCTAGTGACCAACCACTTTCAATTAGACATCTCGCTGCCAAATCACTAAAATTAGGAGAAATAAGCTGCCCCTTAGTACCGCATGCCCACATTGCCTAGAATAAATGGGGATGATAACACCAATAGCCTTGCCTCTGCATTTGTGGAACCAGGCAGCCATGATCTGGGGCCTTCTATCATACGTCTGCTCCTTGGAGTCATCTTTGAATTTTACAAAGTGGCCTTGTCTTACTTCCTGCAGTCCATGCCCCCAGGAATAACAAACTATCCCTCATTTTTTGCCTCCCAACAGCCACTCAGACAGTGATGCCAGGGAAGCTGCTGCAATTACCAGCCAGTACGTTTGCCCCATCTCCAAGCAGCTGGTTGCAGACATGAAGGAAGATACAGACAGTTTCAACTGAAGGTGAAGGGAAAGAAACAGCCAAGAAGACAACTTTGCATGTATATAGCCTTCAAAATAAACAGGGAAGCTATTGAATTTGCTGAGATCAGCAAACAAAAAAAAAACCTGGAAAGCAGACAAAACCAATAAAAATTCTTAGGTTATTAAGAGTGAAATATATGTCAGTGTGAACTGCTGTCAGTAGATGGAGCTTGAATGAAGCACATAACTTCCACTTTGTATTAGCATCTTGCTTCTGAAGTCAAATAAAGATTTATTAGCTACGCCTGTGCTTTGGCTGCTCTTTGGGAAACAGTAATAAGGGTGGTACCATGACTAGGTGTTGGACCATTAGGAATGCAAGGGGGGAGAAGTATTTTGCTGGGCTTCCTCCACATGAAGCATGCTGGGACTAGCTGGAGTCCCTGGCCACGTCTTCTGTGGCTGGGACTCAGCACTGCTCACAACTCAACTGTACAAAGAGGCCAGCATCAGGGTCTCCATTTTGCAGAATCTTAGTGGGGTGCTAGATTTTATTGCAAAGAAATCTACTGAGAGCTACACAAAATGGATACACACTGTAAATATTGTTTCCACTCCATCTGCCCCTGTGTTTACTGGCCTGGCTTTCTCATGGCCACTAAAGACAAAGCTCCACGAGGAATTTATTCCTGCCATTTAATGAGGTTTACATGTTATCCCTGCATCATGCTTCCTGGCAGATTCTGTCCTCTGACAGAACAGAAACTCCTTTCCTGTCAAACAAACAGATTTTAACCAGCTCTAAAATAACGCACCTTCAGCTGCAATTCCGTGTGCCTGCTGCAGAACTGCTCAGTCCATCCCACACCATTAGATGTGATGTACGTGACATCTGCCAAGAAGCCAGTGCCCATGAAATGCTCGTTTGAGCACACACTCCCTTACCGTGATGCTGAAACGCTGTTCTCACGGACCTTGACATTTGTTTATTTTGGTCCATAGGAAACCTCTGCTAGGAAACAGACCTCCCGTAGAACTTTTGGAAGGAGCATTGACAGTCTGTACTTTGTTAAGCCACTAATGGCCACCTGGCTAAAATGCAGCACCTGAGAGCCATCTGAAATCAATTGGTATTTTAAAAGGAGTAGTGAGAGCAGCTGTCTCCTTTCTTCTCCTACACAATGGGTGAATTGAAAGCAATGGTGTTTCTTTGCACAAGTGGTCAAATGCCTTGCCACATGATATTGGGCTTGGAAAAATTTACACAGGCTCAGAAAAAAGGCAGGACAAGATAGTAGAATAGCATGCTATTGATGTTTCAGGAAGCTGCTGAGATATAACTCAGGATGGAGTTTCTGGGGAACATCCCTACAAAGAGCCGCTGCTGGCAACTGGTAGAAGGGAACATGCATTGTCCCTTCAAAGTCTCTGAATAATCACTGGGCTGCATCTGAGCCCAATCCCTGTCGCTGGATCTGCTCTCCTCACCTTGTGAGGATACTGTGGGGTGGCTAGGAATAATAAGATTGTCTCAGAAACATAACGGATTATCTCAACCCTAGGACTTACATAGGCCCTAGCTCATTCCTTTACCATTCAAACAAAAGAGCAGCCAAGATGGCTTTGTCTTCACTGAAACTTTTGCCTTTTCCAGAAATAAAGGTAAGACATTTGAGAGCTGGCTTTGTATTTTTTTTTGAAAAAGATCTGTTGTTTTCAAGAACGGCATGACAGACTGCAACTAGAAAAGAAAAATCATAAGCCATGGACTGGAGAGCAAAACCTGTTATAAAAGGGAATGTGGGCCATGCAGAAAAAACCTAGCTAAAAGAAATAAGATATAGGGGGTATAGTAGCATCATTATGCCTTTTTCCAGGAAATGATCTGACCAAACCAGACCTTATCTCTGGCACATCAGATACATAAATTTGCCCACTTCCTCTGCCCTTCCTTCCCCACATGGAGTGGAAACAATATTTACAGTGTGTATCCATCTTGTGTAGCTCTCAGTAGATTTCTTTACAATAAAATCTAGCACCCCACTGTATACTTGGGAGGAGTATACAGACAGCTTCCCAAGTGTCAGCTCTTATCCTCCTTTGTGCTCATCTCAGGGGCTTGGCTCTGAATTCTGAAATGCTTCAAATATATCCTTGTTGCTACAGAGAGTTTAGGATAGGAAAGATCTGGGAACAAATTAGAAAGAGGAACTTACGAGTTATCATGTTCCGTGACTCATAAATATCTTTCAATAAGTCATCCAATGAGGCAAAGAGGCAAAGGTTGAACTGCAGCAATCCACTCCAGCCAGCCAATGTTTTTTGCCTTCCTGTAGCAGTGAAGACAGAAGACGTCACGGGGAGAAACACGGAGAGGAGAATCGGCTTAATCAGAACAGGGACTTTTTCAACAACTGGCCGCTCACTATGGCTGTTTCTCACTGGCTTCTCACTTCCGTGCTCTTTCTGCTGCCCTTCATAAAACAGGTTTCAGCACAGCAACAAGGTAAGCTCTTGCAGGAGATCCATGACCTCAGAGGAATAACCCTCGTGGCAGCAGGTTGCACTATTATAGGTGGGAGATGTTTATACTCTTGCTCTGAGACAGCTTTGTTCAATGGCCTTCTCCCCAATGGTAACCAGAGGAGTCTCAGATCTCATGTCTCACCCAAGTCTGTCACAGTGTGAATCTCTGGGAAATTTTGTGTCTCGTTTGTGTGTTTTTCCAGGATGTTCTGTCAATAATAGCAGACCAAGTGTTTATGAAAATAACTCTCCTGGCTACGTGGTGACCACAATCCATGTGGAATCAGGCTTCACTGTAACGATTGATCCTACTTCCCCCGATTTCAGTTTTTTCGTTATACAAGGGTCTGAGCTGCAGCTGAGCCAAAGCGTGGACTATGAGGTAAGCCTTTAGCTGGCAGGCTGTAAAGGATGAGATGGATAACACTGGGAAGCAATGAGTTTTAACCTGGGGTTTTGGAGTTCCTGTGATTTGTAACCCATTTCTAAAGGGTCTAGGAAATAACTCTGAAAAATAAACCTATTTCAGTTGGGTTTGAGTTGGTCAGCCCCTCCACAAGCAGAGTATAGGGAGAAGAGGGATGTATGATATGTCTGTTGTCACCTTCCTTCAGTGAGTCTGTATGAATTAAAGCAAGGGGAAGTTTTAAAACCGAAAACGTGACAACTGTAGTCTTCAGAGCTCTCCAGCATTGTGTAAAATTGTCCGTGTTTGCCTGTAGGAAATACAGCTCTGAGCAGTGTGGTGATCTTGTGTGGAGCATAAAGGCAGTATAAAAGCTCAGTATGTTCAGTTAGGTTGCTGCTAAATTATTTTGCCTTCCTGGAGCACTCTGTACACAGCCACAAGCATCCTTAAGATGCCTTTACCCTAGTGTATAAACCCACATTAATTTCAGCAAAGAACAGCAGGCAGAGTTAACACCCTGTAGGCGACACTGTACTTGCTGCATGGTACATTCCTGTTTCATTCAATTTAAAAAGAAATCTCTGTTTTAATTCACCTGAAGTGTGAGAAAATGGCCAAGTAGCTCTGCCAACATGCTACAGGGAATCACAGGGAGAGAAGCTGGAAGATCGGTCTGCTTTAACTCCATCATAAACAAGATTCCAGCACTGATGGATGGCTGTAAAGGAAAGAAAGGAAAAGTTAGATATGTGTGAAAACAAGATAAAGCCCAGCAACATTTCTGATTCAGCAATGCTTGTATTTGTCTCATTTACTTTAGAAAGAGTTAGTACATTTCAGCTTGTTTCTACAATGGCTGGGTTTTGTTTTTCTGTACAGGAAAACACCTTGCTGATCGTGTACCTGATTTGTCAAGACGCTGCTGGGCAGGTGAGTGCTCTTCCAAACACTCAGCCTTGTTACAAGGTACTGCAGGGCAGCACGTCCTTCCCTCTGCTCTTCCTAGTCCACACAATGGGATAAGGAGACGTCCTTTGCAGACATACACACTCCTCTTGCAAAGAGAGAGCACCCAAGGCTCTGCAAATGGGTAGCAGGGGAGAACAAACCCACAAACCCCCCACACACTATGGGCTGGCTGCAAACCCCAGCCCCGTCCAGTCCATATCCAGCTGTGCTCCTTACACCATCCCCTCTGGTCACTCTGCAAATCAGGATCAGCCCCTGATTCTGTCTTTTGTTTGATCATTTGTCTTTGATTCTCTCACTTTATCCTTTCTGCAGAGTGATTCTTTGGAAATTCTTGTGATCATTCTCGATGTGAATGATAACAGCCCAGTGTTTAAGCAAACAAATCTCACCGAATTTGTTCCTGAGGTAAGCATTTTATGGAAGTGAAGGTCACCCAGTGCTGTAGGACTACGGAAGGGATAGCAGGGAGAAGTCTTCTGCTCATTTCACAGAGAGAATAACCACAGGAACTTTATTTCAGGATACAAAAGTGAATGCAACCATTGTAGCCCGTGAAGATTTAAGCGCTACTGATGCTGACCTGGACACCATCTTTTATGAACTCACAACCATAGTGTCAGTGAGTATCTTTGTTCTTTGGGGAAAAAATTATAGCTTTGGAGAAGTCTTTGTGTTTAATTCAGAAGAGCTCCAACTTTGAAGCTAAGGTTACTGTATTACATTGAGTTCTCTGACAGTTTCTGGAAGAGCTGCATCTTTTGCAAAATCCAAACATTGGTTTGGTTAGCAGAACAGAACAATCAACATTGCAGATACTGGATTTTTTTCTGCCCACACTTTTGTTACACTATACAGATGAAACTTTCATCTAGGATATTCTGAGCCATATTATGCAGGGAAGTCTTGTTGGGATGGTATGTAAACATATCAGGAGAGATCTTTGTACCTCACAGAGTCCAGAATTGTGCTCAGTTGGATAGGGAAAGAAGTTATTGTCCTGTTTTCCAACAGTGTCCATGCAGAGTGAAGATAACATAAGCTGTCCAAAATCACACAAAAAGTCTTTGGCAGAGCCAAAGGCAGACTCCACTTTCCCTGGGTGCCAGTTTAGTGCCTCAGTTTATTTATTCTTAAGGGGTTTGCTTGGTAACATGGGAAATGAGTTGTATGCACAGTTAAACTGATGCCAGCCTATAGTGCAACGGTCTGCTAGAAACTTAAAAAAAAAAAAAAGTAAATTAAAGAGAAAACAAAAATGTACATTATGTACATTTACATTTTTAAAAACATTGTGGAGTGAGCAGGCAGTGTCTGAAATGCTGCCTCCATTACGTCCATAATCCCAGGGATTTTAAGGGCTGTGAACAGAAACCACAAGTTTTTGAATTTCAGCTCTGGAACCAGACTTTGCATTCAAATTGATGTACGTCCAGAGGGACTTAGAAATTCAGAGGAATTCTTGTCAAGGCGTAAGATACAAGGCAAACCAAAATAAGTGCAGAAGGTTATAGAGTAAAATACAACATATGTTATTTCAATTTGGCTTTTCAGTTGCTTCCAAAGTTCAGCTGTGTTAGGCTAAGGCAAGTGACCTTGCCAGCTCTTGGAGGCTGAGCCATCTTTGATCTGTTTTGTGCATGAATGTGACTGCTTGGCTCTCATGGACCCAAAATCAAGGATTGTTGGCAACCTGTTGAGTGTAGGAAATAAATGAGGTAAAAGATTTCATCCAGTACCTGCTGAGCAGGTAGGCAGGCAAAGCAGGGAATCTTAGAGAGGAAAACTTACAGAAACATGAACAAACCTTTCTGACAAGCCAGGTAACTTCGGTGTGCAACACCAAAGATTAAACAGATCTGGCATTCTCACACTGTGACCCCACCCCCATGTCCCCTCTCTCCAAGTTCTGCTTGGGATGACAAAGAAATAAGCAGTATTTCGAACATGTCTGAGTCTGCTAGTAGGATTTTTCCTTTTCCCTCCCACAGGGCACAGATGGTTATTTTGCCATAAAAGGAGTTAATAACCCAGAAATTTATTTACAAAAAGCATTGGACTATGAGAGATTTAAATTGACAACATTGATCTTGTATGCAAGGGTAAGTTCTTTAGAAGAAACAAAATCCCTCCTTTGTACCAGTCTCTCTTAACTGAAGGGTAAGTCTGAATGAGAGATCTCTGGGATGCCAGGAGGGAGGGTGGATACTGAGGGTGGTGAATTTGGAGCAGCCTTCCACTCTTCATACTTACACAGTGGCTGTGTCCAGCTTTGAATCCAGTCCACCTTTGCCAGCAGAATGAGATAATTCACTGCTTTAGCTAATCTCACATAAACTGCTAAGCCTTAAACAGAGTGGAGTTACAACAGCTAAAAGACCCTGGGCCACTGGCTTTTGCAGATGGGTTTTTCTTTTGACAATGAAACTTGCATCTCCTGAGTGTGCTTTGCCTTCGGGCACAGGACAGGCCTGTGGGCAGCACTGAAACCACCAACACAGCTACCGCAACAATAAACATATTTATTGAACAAGCTGACACCAAACCACCCTGGTTCCTACCCTGTACCTTCATTAACACGGACAACAGCATTTGCATCAGCAGCCCCTATACTGGGAAGGTGAATATCTCCGAGATGTCGGTAAGCAGGCATGATCGAACAGTATTCTTGATGCTATTCTCAGACAACATCCAGATGCTATTATCAATGGGTAGTACCTAATAATTTCCATGAGCTCATGCTGATCTCCAGTCAGAAATGCAGATGATTCAGCATGACAGAGAGCCTTTATCATCTGGGAAAGTGGAGGTTCCCCCACCCCAAGCAGCACCCCTTGTGCTTGTTCCTGCAGCACATCACAGGAGAGGTGGGAGCTGGAAAACCCTTTCCTCTAGGCTGTCTCACCTCTGCCCTGTTACAGCCATCTCCCAGCAATAAATGCCATTCTGCCCAGACAAAACCACAAGAACCAGGCTGGGGCAAGAGAATGCTGCAAATGCTAATTTGGAGCTGTAGTGTGGTATGTAACGCTTTGTCTTGTTATTGCAGACGGAGCCACTCATCCTAGAGCCAGGGCCTATCTATGCTATTGATCCTGATTACACTTTAAATGAAAAAATCGTGTACAGTATTGTTGGTGGTGAGTAGAAGTTGTCACCTTCCACAAATGGCATTGCTCATATTGTCCCCTACATTACCTGCCAAGAGAAGATACCCTCCATGGCACTAGAGAGTTGAGAGTCTGGGAATTTGTCACTCTGTTTCTGCCACAGAAACATAACTAGATCCACAGAACATTATTGATTAAGTAGAAGAAACAGACTGTACAGAGAGGAAGAAAAAGAGAGCTATAGTCCCACAAACTAGTCTCCATGAAATCTATTTCCAAAGGACTTTGTTTTTTAGGCAGGTGACACTTTTCCACAGGGGAAAAGGCTGCTTGCTACAGAA